GTCTGGTAGAGACAGGTATCTACCACAGTACAATGGAAGTTGGTCGCGCAATTTCGTGGATTGGTTGATGTTAGAAACTATCACCATTGGATGCCGGCTCAGTGGTCCAGTAGGTTAAGCGTTCGCGCGCGAGGCCGAAGGCCCTGGGTTCGAATGCCGCTCGCGAGATCGTGGATGTGCACCGCTGAGGAGTCCCACGACAGGACGAAACGGCCGTCCAGTGCTTCCAGGTTTTCAATTGTGATGGTCTAACATCAATCGGTTCATGATCTCAATCAAAAACTTAATAATCTCCACAACCCCTATACTAGTAAATAAATGGAAATTGAGTTAACCGACTAACCGATGATTTTATACATCTAGTTAAGTTAGTATAGATTCATTTTATTTAAAAAAAACATACAACTTATAATTTATATTCATATTGTATTTGAAGCAATGAATCCCTTTTGATAAATTTAAATAGTGTAATAAGAAGATGAAGATTATTAGAACTATATGATGATATATTAGCGCAATACATTTCGAACAATGTGATCACATATATATAATTGTTCAGAACATTTATATATAAAAATAGAAGGATCAACTATACTACAAAGAGGAAAATAAGGAAAATAATATGAAAACAATTTGAAACCTCATCGCTATAGATAATAAGCTAAAATTACCAGGGTAGGTTTAATGTGAGAACAAACTGTTTTTGAATATATTGCATTAATATATCACACAGTTCTGATAATCTTCGTCTTCATTTTCTACTGCGTGTATCAATCTTCCCATTGATGTTTAGGACTTGAACTGATTAGTCTCTTATTGGTACATAAGTATGCTGGGCGGATTGCCTCGATATTGAGTCCCGGAGTAAATATCAACTCTAGGATGAAGGTAGACCCAGCTGACCAGTGTCAAATAGGACGAAAGTGCGCCCTGGATTTCACTGCTAAGCACTATCTATATTTGCTTATAATTTAAAGTTTCAATGGGAATGGTTAATATATTAAAATACAAATATCGGTGATATTTTTTTCTCAAATTTGTATCATTTGAGGAATCATCAACAGCCCAGTAGTACTGTTTGATAGTCTTGTCAACAACACAACAGAGAATTCGACAAAAAATCTTTCAAGTATTGCAGGCAGGAGTCTTATCCTTGAAAAATTGATTTTTCAACATGAAGATTTACTTTTCTAAAGTTTGGTCAAGTCAAGATATAGTGCAGCGTTTATTGGAATCCGTCAACTATTATACTAATGGATGAATTACCGGGAACTTATTAAGCAATTGAGAATAAAGTACAAAAATAAACCTCGACGTCTATACATCTAAGCATCACTCAAATCTCAATTATTAAATAAACCAAAAAGCAAAATAGAAGTTAAAATGTTTTCACAACATTAATTTACTTTCATACACCAAATAGTTACACTTATGTCTACAACTAATTTTCAGTTAGGTTCAGGAAAACATTACCCAGATGTATTTTGCATTTTAGTCAAATTCTGTCAAGATTTTAATAATGAATACTAGCAAAACCTATTATGTTCATACTTGTGATGTTTTTTGATTACTTATCCTAATTTTGGTTAAGGTAATATAGATTTGATAAATATTTTTAATATCAGAAGGGGTTTCATGGATTTTATATTAATTTCAATAGTTGAGATCATGAGTCAATTGAAGCTAGACTACCATGGAAAATCTAGAGGCACTGGACGGCCGTTTCCTTCTATTGTGGAACCCCTCAGCAGTACGCATCCACGATCACGCCTCACGAGATTCGAACTCAGGTCTTATCAGTCTCGCGCGTGCGCGCTTATTCTCTAGACCACTGGGCCGGCATCCGACGGTGTTAATGTCTAACTTCAACTAAAACACATAATTGAGCGACATATTCATCACATAATAGTTATGAATTGATGTAAAGCCGTGGTATGTAAAAAGATCATACAAAAAGCAAATCTGTTTTTCTGAAGAAAATACTTTGCTTTTATAAACAGTAGTTAGATATTGTTACGAATACATGAATTCTCCTTTTTTACTTGTTCACATACGAGCTTACCTACCAATTAAATTTAATGAAGCAATGTATAAAGGAATCAAAAATAAAGATAAAGGAAACAAATAAACTCTGTTAATGGCCAGGTAAATCAATCAACAACTTGGGTATCTCAAACTTTATGATCGGTTTGAACTTTAGATCAAAAGTTTTGCTGATCGAGTCTAGAGGACAATTTTGATTTTTCATTCAATATCCATGCTAATCACCCTTATACTTGTAGACATTCCTTCTAACTACCTATAATATTCAAATGTTGATAGAAATTCAATACTTAGTGACAATCACTCTTAATATTATTCGATCACAACTAATGAGAGAATTTTGTTGATATAGTTGTTTTACTACGAAGTACTTCTTAATTCCATATGATAAACAAATATCTAATTCATTTTAACAGCTGTTACGTATTCGTGTTTTACTAGATCGCTTGAGGTAGATTAAACAACTTAACCTAGAAGCTTAGATTAACATAAACAATTAATTTTTCAGTGATTTGACTTCTTGTATATTACATAAAAACAATTATATATACATGCATTCCATTCTCGTCCTATTCCGAACAAAATATATATTATAAACAAATGAAATATTTTGCCTAACATAATCACTATGCAGTTTTCTTGGCATCTTACTTCTGTATTTCGAGTATTTATGTTTATAAATCACTAATATGCAGTTATGTAACCCTTTTGTTTTGGGGCTTATATTCTTTTGTTTTTTTTATCTGTGCACATTTACACATTCAGTATGAACATTCAGACTTTTGTACTGATCGATTATCGATTTCTGTTACATAACTTTGAGGGGTTTTTTTTAGAAAAAAAAAAGTATTATTTCAAACATACAGAACACAGATGAAGATGGACACAATATAGAAATTGTTTAACAAGGAAATTTCTACTTTATTGACCCAGCATGTGTTCAAGTGAATTTTGATTTAGTTTGAACTAATAAAGTGTAAACAAACTTTGATTTAAAAATAAACATTTGGCGCTTTATATTTATTATTCAATTTCTGATCTTATTACGGTAGATCAGTTTTTTTGAATCAAATAAAAGAAGACAGGTTAAATCAAGATTGTTTAACGTAAGTTCAAATAATGTTTCTAATGAAATAAGTATTTTACAATAATCTACATTATCTTGAGAGAAATATGATTTAAAATCGTTCTTGATACTAAAAACTTGAACCAAACCAGAAATGACAAACCTTTCTGAATAGGTCTTATTTTTAATCTGAATGTTATAAATTAATTCTGAAAATTTAATCAAAAATCATCTTTTAGTTTTTCAATTAACTTGTATAAATGTAAGTTCTGACCCAAATAAATCAATATCATATTATGACATATCGTTTAGTTGTTAATCCAAACCTTTTAGTAAAGCACACTTATTGATATGATCATTGAATAAATGAGTAATCTACCTTGTACCATTGTCTAGACCTTAATGATAGTTTAATAGTATTTATGAAATTCGGATTAAATCACTAATCTATGTAACTCGATACTGTACCTAATTGTATTTGTTTCTTTTGTAAATCATGTTTGAAACAGGTGAGGAACATTAGTTTCCTAAAGATTTTAGAGATACCCTGCTGATAAGTACCAACATGAAACCGATGTTTAGCTCTTCCTATTAATTGCTTTCACTTACCTAATAGGTATTTATTTATAAATGCACATATATATGTTTTTGTATGGGCATGTATATACGTGTGCAACTAATATGCATTTGTGCAATAAACAAGAATGAATATGACAGTAATTTAGATAGTTCGTGAAATCTTTATAGTTTATACAAACTATAACTAAATTCAATGATTATTGATTAAATATTCCAGTGCTGAAATATTTGAAAACTGAATGACACAATAGGTTTCTGATACAAAGTGATTGTTGAAAATCGACCAAAAATATCAAATTTAAGTTATGTAATCTAATGACCACATTTCATCATGATCTATAAGATATACTCAACACTAAATATCTATTGACATGACATCGTTTACAATTAATCATTCATCAGTAAGACTCTATATTATTTTGCTTTGCAATAAACAATTAGTTTGATTATTCTCATATAACTTATAACATTAGCTTTAAACTCAATGAAACAGTTTCTGCCAATGATAGATGTTTTGTTTTTGCACACTTTAGATATAGATGAACTAAATATTAAAAAAAAGTCAAATACACCAGATATTACGATCTATTCCAAGTGAAATTAAATCAACTAGCATATCTCTAATTAGCTGAAGTCCTATTTATTCGAATCTCTATATTCTAAGACACTAAATGAATTTAAGAAATCTGGGTTTTTGTAGTTCTCGGATCAGGTTAATACAACATTATATATATATATATATATATATATATATATATATATTGCAACGAATTCTTTTATTTCAAGCCAACAATGAAGTAATGACAGAAATAACCATGTTGTTTCTGACAAGCTCCTAGTTGAATACTTACTACTGAAATGTAATTCTTGTTGATAATAAAAATTAGTGAGAGAAAATAAAACTAAACGTATCATCAATCATGGAAAGCTTTAAACTTATCATTTAGAACACAAAACCCACGAAGTATTGTATGAACGTTTCATCCTAGTTCTAACCTACTCTTCAGTGTATACTGAGGATTCAAATGAATCCAATATCAATAGATTCTATAGAGATCAAAATAATTTTTCGACCATATAGCAGAAATCGAATTTGTAAAATTTTCACCTTCAGCTTATTATCAATAAAGTGAAATAATCAAGTGTAATTGATGTTATTGTTTCATACTCATTAGAATCTAATTTACCACGTCTACTTTATATTCAGATTAAATAAACAAAAATAATTTATATTCAAAATTTGACATTAGTCAGAGTTTATACAGTGAATATAAAGGGATTTAACAAAATTAAAATTATGAAACAGACTTACTTTTAATATTGAGATTTGTCTATTATTCAAATCAAGAATCAGAATACACAAATATTTTGATTTTTTTTCACCAAGTGATCTCACGTTAGTACTACGATCAGTTGTAATAATTACAAATACTCTTTAAAAATATATATAACAGTTACTAGGATATCACGTTTTCCTATATGGAAATATTTTCCATATGCATTGTGCTTTATAAAAGGAATTAATATTGCGTAGGCTGCACCAAAGTATTTGGATAAAGGCATACATTACAACACCTATGTAGATATATCTATGTGTGTGTTGGTGATTTTTAAATGAATCAGGCAGACTTATTTTCCCAGAGATTTTAGTTGGCTAATTGTCTGGCATTATTATAGAATAAGCTTTACTATTGCTGTCTGTTTGCCTTATATGTTATGTGGTCTGATGAAAAAATCTAAATATGATATTAAATAAATTGTGGAATGTATGTGTGTATATCTTTGCACGCAAAATTAATGTAAAATTAGTGAATAATGGTGATGTCAGTGATTGAATATGTATGTATTGAAAAGCACACACAAATATGCACACAGGCATGGATTTCCGTATAAAGTATATAACTTATGAAAAGAATAAGGGTGACCATTTATATAAGCCGCCATATTGATCACTTTCATCCCCTTTTAATGTACACTATAGAACTTGCCTGACAATGAACATTAAAAAGTTTTGCATAGGATTTTGTTCACTGACTGAAAATATCTTCAATTCGGTGTAAGAATTACAAGAATTAATAAAAATTTCAAAGTGATCACGATTAAAAAAAGTAGTAATGGAAATTCAACTACTGCTAAATATCTGAATTTTCATATTTCTGTACTGACTTGCATGGGAATAAACTGTAACATGCAAAGAGCTCTGAACAGTTGTTTTCATCTTCATATGAAACTTTTCGGCAGTGCTCATTCACAACCACATGTGGAATGGGACTTAAAAATTAACAATTATGAACTGTAATTTGAATAACTAACAAAGAGCTTAACAACATCTGTACTACTGAAAATATAATCATATTAATAATAAATATATATTTGTTATATCTCAATGAGTAGAAAAATTATATTGCTGACGTTTTGTGACTTAATGTAAGCCGCTTCCTCAGAGTAAGTAAATATCTGAAATTAAACTAAAACGCTTTTCGTTAGTATGAAGGAAATAGTGCAAAATATATCAACCTTCTACTTCACATCACAAATCCATACACTTTTCATACCCACATTCTAACACATAAATTAATAATGTAACAGGTCATATAAATTCAGTTTGACCAAGAACAACTTGACAGTGACATATTCAGACCTATTATGACTTTGATTGTTCTAAAAAATATTTTGCATTGTTAACCTTATACTATTTAAACTGTTGCTAATTTAATGTCGGTTATTTATTTACTCTGAAGAAATAGCTAACATTAAGTCACGAAACATCAGAAATAAACTTTTTTCTACTTTTTGGGACACAATAAAAAATATATTTATCATTAAGTCTCTACTCAATTCTCAATTTATTTGAAACTATCAAGTCTAATATTGGTATTAATACCCATGATCAGATTATCTAGAAATATATATATATATATATATATATATATATATATATAGAGAGAGAGAGAGAGAGAGAGAGAGATTAAGGTTACACTTGATTAATTGGTTGTAATTATCCAAGAAATACACAATATCCATATTTCTGTTGTGTTTATATTTTTTTGCATGTATCCTAAAATGAAAATAGGGAATGACCGGATTAGAAACAAGGTCAATAACAAACTTAAATTAGTACATGTTTTGCCTTTCTTAAGCACAAATTAAAACTTTTCACTTCTGTGTAGAATATTTAGCTATGAAATGATTATAAATAATTGTTTTATATATCATTACTAATTTCTTATGATAAAAATGATACAACATTAATTAACTACATCAGACATGAGTTATATAACACTAATATTAAATGATGATGGCCGCACAACGTCATAAAGTTCATAGATGAATACCGATGAGGAATCTCATATTAGGATGGGATAGCTATTTAGGGCTTTCTAAAGTTTTCTAAGCGAAGTCAGTTTGTCATGAGAAACCTCAACATCACTAATCAGTCTTGCAGAGTTATAAAAAATTATTTCAGCAAATTCAGTTACCTAAACTCCCTAAATATTTCACTTTACATTTTTAGCAGTAAAATCTTTAAAAACTATTTCTACATAAGGACGCTATTCGTCATGGTAACAACTAGGTCTGTTTAATATTCTAATGTTAAATATTTAATTACCTAAATGAGTAACCGGTACAATAAATCTACAAAAAACTGATGCATAGACTAAAGTATAATGTTTCGAATTATTTGAATTGTAGTACGAACTAAGAGTCCCAGAAATAAAGCAATGGAATCAAGAAGTACTAGACAAGCACGAACGAATGTATTGTATTTAGAATTCGAGATCAAGCATTCAACAAGTACAGTGGTATCATTAGTTCATTCAAACACTACATAAAGTCCATAATTTTGATACACTTTTATCATGAAATTGAAATACAATTTTAAATAAATGTAAAGCAGCGAATATGGTTGGTTCTATATTCCTTTATGACATACACTAAATTCATTTTCACTAAAAGATTTAAATTGGATTGGTGCATGTACAATGTTACTGTAATTCATTATGAATTACCTAGTTGTCCGCACTTTCTATTGTGCTCTTAGATAAACTGTACAGGACTATAATTCAGAAGACTAAAGACATAATTCTCACTGAGATATCGAAATACCCTACTTTTCAGTTCGGTGTATTTTATTTGGTATACACTTCTAACGAGTTCTAAGTTGAGACGAAACAACAATACACTCGACCTATATCTTCAATGATTCTTCGACTAATGCTTGTCTGAAATGACATACACATGTAGAAGAGTTGTATATCTTTTCTACAGTTTAATGTCATTTTTCCATTGAATTATGTTTTATTGAATTTCACTATGAATACTTTAAATTCAAGTAATTGATAACTAGTTATAATTCAAACAAACTATCATATTAATGAAAGTATAAAACAATTGTTTATTGACTTAATCATTGACCTTCAATAATCTACTTGTATTCATCATTGTTTTATTACCTTTTTTTTTCTTTTCAAAATAACTTCATTCTAGATTTTTAGAAGGATCCTCTATTGTTACAAAAGTAAATTGTTTTTCTATATTTCCTTTTTTCTTTAAAACCGAGATTTCTATACATGACATTTCCACATAAATTGTATTGTAGATTTGTTACATGGACGCCTTTGACTAAAACTATAAAATAAAATGTCAGATCCAATAAATAAGGTTTCATTAACATTAATCAATAATATGTAGTTGAATTCATAGAATCAATCCCTTTTGTATGAGGGAGGGGGGATTGTAACATCTATATCTAACTTTATATGGATGAATATAGAGTGTGCTACTTATTTATATTAAGTAGCAAAATCTTTACACAAACAAAAACACCATTAAATGTTGTCCAATAAGATTTTATCATTTTAGACACAAATTTATCTATCTAGTGATTATTAAATAAACAGATTAATCTTGTTGTTGTCTGGTCAAATAACAACTTTTGAATAAATGTTTATCAAAATATGTAGAAACAAGAATTATCGAGTGTTTGATTTAAATCATTAAATAGTTCCATGATTTGTTCTGCTAAGAAATATGAAAAGAATGAATCATAGATATGAATAGAAACTAAACTGAATGCTTCTTTTTATCAATTTTAGTGTTTGACTAATTTTTACTTATCTGTGTTGTTTGCTATAATTAACTAAATGAATAAGTGGCAATATTATGTTGTAACTTAATGTCATAAACAATATTTCTCTCGATTATCTTGTAGTGACTGTGCTTCGTTGATCAATCACCCTCGTAACCGTTACCATATAATTCTCAACGGTGTTTGAAATCAGAAGGCAAAGAGAGAAGCAGAGACTACAGTTTTATTAGCAGATAACTCATACCACAAAGCAATGAGGCGAATGAGTGAGTCAGCGAACCGAGAGTGTAGAGTGTTAAATGTACGTGTATATATATAGGGAAATGAATGGGTCATCGAATCGATTAAGCAGTTAATAATAAAGCTAGTAGAATGAGTATATGCGTAAGCAATGTTTAAGCATACATATTTTTCATACAAGCACAACAATAATAAAGGTACAATAAGTTGTTATAGTACGGATGACTTTGTCCGCTAAATAAGTTAACAAAAGGGCTAAACTGAGTTAAATGAGAACAAACTCAATTGCATGTGAGTTGCTATAATCTAACTTCCAAGCATAAAAGAGTGTAGTTTTTATACGTTTAATCTTTATCTTACTTATTGAATCAATTTATTCTCTAACCAGTGATCATTGTTCTTATAATAGACTAGCATTCGATAAATCATAGATTATTAGGAAAAATAGCCATAACTACTTCATCAAAAGTTAACTGAATTATAATTCAATAGTAGCCTAATGTAATTATTCATTATTATGCCTCAACCTCTAATGTTATTGTCACCCAAAATATGAAAAATTGAAACGTTTATCATGTTCAGATACCTATTGGATACATTAAGCTGCCCTTTTGCAAACCATTTGGCTAAAGAAAAATTTAGTGTTCGTTTTACAATTGATACAATCGAGTAAATTAATGTGAAATCGCGCATAGATACATGTGGATAACACGTAAAACTATAACAAATATGACTGCTAACCTTAGTATAGAAAATCTTCAATAGTTTCATCTCATTTGATTTCTGTGAATTAATGATAATACTGAGTAGACTTAGTTAGTAAAAGTTTGCTTTTATACAAATAATTTCATCTGTGTGTATATTGAAGATGTTTTCTTTGCTAAAGCTAAATGATATTATGTAGCAGAATAACTATTTAATTAACGGTATATTCTTGTCTAGGCTAATTACAGTGAATTCATGAAATCCATTCTTATACTAGTTTACGCGACCGATTGATTATAAAAATTCTCGTTTTTTTGAAATCCGTAATTGGAAAAAGGTTTGAATAATTTTTTCTGATTAAGGTTTTTTAGCGAGTTAGTTTTCTACGGGATGGAGTCGCTAACCCCATGCCCAACCCTTCTCCTTTATTCGGGCTTGGGACCGGCATTAGCCCCTGGAGAGACTCCAGGCGGAGCTCAAAACAACTGCAAACCAACACCAAGGTCAGGATTTTCAATACAAATGTCAAGATAGTTCTACTGTATGGGGCGGAATTATGGAGAACTACGAAAGCCATGATCCAGAAAATACAGGTGTTTATTAAAAGTTGTCTACAAAAAACACTTCAGATCCGTTGGCCGATCACTAATAGCAACAACCAAATGTGGGAAAGTACAAACCAGAACCCAGCAGAGGAAGAAATCAGGAAGAAGCGCTGGAAGTGGATAGAACACATATTGGAGAAAGCACCCAACTGCGTCACAAGACAAGCCCTCACATGGAATTTTCAAAGCCAAAGGAAAAGAGGAAGACCAAAGGACATATTACGCCGGGAAATGGAAATACACATGAGAAAAATGAACAAGAATTGGATGAAACTAGAAAAGAAGGCTCAGGACAGAGTGGGTTGAAGAATGCTGGTCGGCGGCCTGTGCTCCATTAGGAGTTACAGGTGTAAGTAAGTAAGTAAGTAATTGGAAAAAAAGTGGATAAGAAAAAGGGATAGAAGTGATCAGAAATATCTTTTGTTATTTAAACACATAGTTTGCGTGACTGGATAAATAAACAATAAAATTATAATGGTCACAAAAAAATCGATTAAATTCTATAGGTATATAATACTAGGGTATTTTATTCATAAAATAAAGTAAAAGATAAGAATGAACTGATTTTGAATAACAAACTTTGCAACAATTAAAACAATAGAATACTTATGAGATAACTTACAATGGTAACTAGATTTAACAAATACCCTGGATATTTGCCAAACGAACACATATGGGACATTATAAACATGTCTATATGATATTTCATATCATTTTTAAAATAACATTAAGAAAAGAGAAATTACAGGGTGATCTAATCTATTTGCTTTTCATTATAATCTCTTTAAGAAAAAAATCATTACAGTCAATCCAAATTAAAGGTTATAAAGCCTGTAATTACAGTGTTAAGTATCGGACCGTTTAGCTAATAAATTCGAGTAATTTTAATATCAGCTGTTATCGACCTTACTGACCATATTTTAATGTAATTTGCAGGCAAATAATCTGATGATATTAAGAAACTCGGAGGGTTGTGTATAAATTTTATGTTTATTTCTGAGCTATACAGTTCGTAGTAACCTAACTAAAGATACTTTCAGTCATATAAACAAACTAAGCTCAATCCCATCGTCATTTATTCGCGTTTACAGCCGAGTTAGCAGAACAACACCAAAACGGCTATTATTAATAAAATTAACGTCAATTTGAGTAATATGTGATGTTTTTGATCAAAATAGCTATATAGCACGACTATCTAGTGGTAGAGAGGCCCTTACTAAATAAAACTGTCTTTTAAATGATGTAAGCTTACAAAAAACATCTAACGTATCCCTTGTTAACAGTTCTTTTAAATATTGTAGGAAATAAACACTAAATTAACATTATGATGATCGATAGAATATTATCAACAACCCATTTTAAGGATCAGTTAGCGGATTACGTTGAACTCTATTAATCTTTAAGTTTCATATCCGTCCGCTAGTTCAGGACATCGATTTCATTAAAAACAACTGAATTTAATTTTTAACTAAAAGTAGAGGGTTCTTTAACATGGTTGGAAAATAGTGTGTCTATTGTTTAAATCATTTAGAGCTTATTCAGGAAAACTTCTGGCTGATGAAAGTTGCTTTCTAGAAGTAGTGTCGCAGAAACATCCCTTTTGATAACACATCTAATCACTCATACTATCTATTAAATTGCAAAGTCTTCATGTAGTGAGTATAATCAATGTACAACTATTGGTATTTTATTTTTTTTGTTCCTACGGACTGTTGTTTTGTTTTTTCTCAGAGAACTATTGAAGGAGAGTGACTTGTTCATTCCAACTATTAACTTGAAAGAATACTCCAAACAGCTGAAAGGTTAACACCATTTGTTTCGTATAAATCTGTTTACTGCAAAACCATTATAATACATCATTGTGCCACGAACGAGGATTTGTCTAGTTTTGGAAATGTTCACACTTTCTATTTAAGATCACAGATTTCACTATACTAAATTATTGTCAGTAACCATGATTCAAAATGTTATGTAATCGTATATCTTTTCTCACAGAAGCTACTTCCTTGATCCCTAAATATGTGCTTTCATTGTATCTACCAACAGGATGGCTAAGGTTTAATTATAGATATATTATCTCTTACAACATTGTTTGCTAAAGCGGAACACTACTATGATTAAATCTTTTCACATCACAGCAACATAATATTGTTCTAGTACAAAACTTATTTAGACAGTCACAAGATCATCTACGAAAATAATCAAAGTTTTCTCTGGAAAGTTTCTATCACTATTGAAAATGTTATCATTTCATATGCAGACTATTACTTCTTTTTGCTTCTAATTACAAATCTCCAAAAAACTATTCAGTGAAAACAACCATGACGTAATAAATAAAATGAATGACATACAGATTATCAG